CCACTTTATACCAACATTCGTCTCATTAGCCCAATCCACGTTCATTGGACCGCCCACTGCCCTACCCGGTCATAATAACAGAAAGCCCACCAGTGAACGTAGGCACAAACATGGTTAATAAGAAATCAGCTGGGATCAGTTGCTGCAACCAAATCGCCGTGTCCGGTGAACTCGCCCGCTCACACCACTTGATCGTCCCCTCTGGTCGGACAAATGCGCTCTCTAAAGAGTTTTGTTTGGTACACTGTCAACTACTTTTTCTTTTTTTCATAATTCAATTTCCTAGCATCCTGGCAGCCCTATTCGCGCCCCAGTACCAAGAATATCTAATCTCATACACCGCCTTCAAGCTAGATGACTTCTCACTGGAGTTCGTCGTGCTTAACTAGTGCTGAACTGGGCGAGTTTGTTGGACAGAGATGAGGACCCTAATCATAACTGATGAATCGGCTGATGCGCATTTCAACAATATACATAACACCAGGGCCAGAACTCCATCAACTGTCAGAGTGCCACAGGAAATCGCCGAAATTACCTACAATAGGGCCCCACTTCTGTAATCTTGTGGAATCGAAGTTTCTGGGATATTTTGAAAGCATGAACGAATAAAGACGAAGAGTTTATAGCCGAAGGCAAGTATTACAGTAACGAATCGTATGAGCACAAATTTCATCTAAGTCAAAGCTACTTCAATGCCTCGTTAGTACACAAACTTCAGATGTCTTCTTGATAGGTTAGTACAATTTGAAGCGGAAGAAAAGCAGATTGAACCCAAATATACTGGTCAGTAACGAATTCATATAGGGTGCACGAATAGTAGATCCACGCCAAAGATCTAGGCCGCGACTTCTGCAGCAGGTGTTTCGGCATCCGGAGCCTTCTGAAAAAATTGAGCATGAACTTCTTCAGGAGCAACTTTCCAGCGCACAAGCGTTCTGGTTATTTTCAGTCGAAGTTAATTGAAGCTCCTATTTACGGAAAATCGGCGAAGGCTCAGTTTTCTTCAGGAGTATAATTAAAATAAAGTATCTCTCTTACAGCTGGAGGTGCCTCTGGTTCGTCTTCGAAGTCCTTGTCAGGCAATTGCAAGGGAATTGGTGGAACAGGTGGACGAGCAGCATCTCCTTCAGCTTTGACTTGTTCAACATACTTCGGGGGCTCGAGGTTCTTTCTGGAATAATCCCATTGTTCAGTGTCAGGGAAAGAATTAAGAATTGGAAACAAGGATTTAATGGACGCTTACCTGAGCTGCTCGAGCTCCTCATTCTCCTTCCTGCCCCACTCTGGTGGTGGTCGAGCGGTTCCATGGGCAATGGTTGGTGGCTTCTTGACGACTGGGTGCTCAAACAGCTCTCGGCGATCTCCATATGATCTGAAGAATTGATTAGCTCAGTAGGCGTGAGCGGTAGTTGCTTGGAGGGGGCATTCAAAGGTTTCCTTGTGCAAAACCGTAGTTGCCGTAGTATAGCTAAGGATTTCTGCCAAGGCCTAAAGAGGTAAGGGACCATCGGGCTGAAGAGACTTCAGACGCGGTAAATCTATCCCATTACATTGACCCCAGTTTCCATAGGGAGTCCTTTAAATGTCTCCTTCAAGGTTATAAGCGCCTAAATCCCCTTCAAGGAGTGAAGAAACAGGGGAAAAAGGGAGCGCATTAGAGCGAGAATGCAATCTGAGACCTTCTGTCGATTTGGCGATCGAATTTGGATGCAGTGGTGATCTTTGGAGGATGTTGAGATGATGCGGCTTCTTCAGGATCAAGTCCCTTTTTGAGGGCCTTGTTTCTGGCGACCTGGCGTTGACGTTCGTGCAATTCTTTCATCTGGAACATTCAATTTTCAATTTTCGACCTAATCCAGGGACTAATATTCCCTTTTCTTACATCATATTCTTGGCGTTCATGGCGTTTCTCCAGATCGTATTTGTCAGCTTCCAATTTGCAGATTCGGTTATGCAATGTTTTGATTCGCTCCTTCAGATCGTTCGGAAGCAGTGACGAGATATCCACTGAACGGCAAACAGCGGCCAAGAACGCTGCCTTAGCCTCTTCTTGTTGTTCCTTCGATTGCCCGTCTTGTTTTGAACCCTGAATCGATCGATACATGAGTTCCATTGTTGGCCCTGCAGTTCTTAAAGTGTTGAATAGGATACGGTAGCTGTGAAGTATGTAAAGAGCGCAGTGATAAGTAGATTAGCGGTAGAGCCCTAAAACCCTCATTTCAAGAGAAACAAGAAAAAAAACGTAAGAAACCCCTACAAAATTTGACCTCCTGGACGCTAGCGTAGTGAGAGGGGACCACTCGAAAGTGCTTCGTATCCTTTGCTCTAGTCAGGGCTCAGACTGATATCCCTTAGCCACTCTGGTCGTCTGCGCTCTGAACCTGAGTCG